GAGAACTGTGAGACAGTCGAGAACATGGTGACATTCTGTTAACACCTACATACATAAACAAGACTATCTCGCAATCATATTTATGACTTTACTTCCAAATAATTTTATTAATGACGAATTGAAACTACAATCCATCAAAATCTATGAAATATCTATGGAACATCTATGATTGCTCCATATGATATCTATGAATATATTTAATGGATGTCGAATGGAGGTATGTAATGCGGAACTGTGGATGTCTAGTAGACATTTATAGGAGATTACATAGACATCTAATAGAGGTTTCGAATCTCCATGATGGACATCTAGTGGATATCCATTAGAGCTTTTTGTTCCGTGTGGGAATTAAACATTCGCTGGGTTTGCATCCATTCAAAAAACATGCAACACACAAACTTGTACCTGCTGATATGCCACGACGTTTAAATTTCTGTGAATGGATTATTGATCACGTTAGTTTGTTTAAATTTTTTATTCTTTTATTATTTTATAATATACCAGACACATTGTTACCATTATCAACTTGCATCGTCAACTTTATACTAAATTATTCAATTTCTGCAGGTGGATTTTAATGATGCCAGAAATTATATCTTTTTAAAAAACATTTTGTGGACTGATGAAGCAATTTTCGGAAGTCATGGGCAGATAAATCATCATAATGAGCATCATTATGCAGAGCAGAATCCACATTGTGTAAAGGAACACAATTTTCAAGGCAGGTGGACAGTAAATGTGTGGCTCGGAATCGTAGGAGATCACGTCATCGGCTCTGAATTTATAGAAGGAAATGTGGATGCACAATATTATTCACAATTTTTTCTCCACCGACTCGACGAGCTTTTGGAAGATGTGCCACTAGCTAATAGGCTAGAAATAGTTTTCCAACAGGATGGACATCCCGCTCACACGTCTCTTGTAGCGAGGACAATTTTAAATAGAAAATTTCCGCGGAGATGGATCGGGCTTCATGGTCCTCAGGAGTGGCCACCACGGTCTCCAGATCTTACGCCCATAGACTTTTTTGTGTGGGGATATTTAAAAAATAAAATCTATCAAATTTTGCCAGCAAATCATGAAGATTTGCAAAATAGAATACGAAACACATGCGCAGAAATCACTCCTGCGCAGAAATCACTCCTGCCACATTAAATACAGTGAGAGAAAATTTCATGCGCAGAATTATGTTATGTTTAGAAGAAGATGATAATTTAATAGAACATTTATTATAAGCATTTAAATAAAAAAATTATTTTATTTATTAATCTTTAATTGTTAAATATTAATAACTCTATTATTAATAACCTTTATTATTTATTTATTTATTAAAAAATATTATTTATCTTTATTTTGTAAATTGTGTTATTTGTTTAATAACCGTTTAATGTTTACTAATTTTATTATTATGTCGTTATTAATATTTCTATTATTAAACAACTCCTATTATATATATATTTTATTATATTATATATAATTAATAAATTATTATATATAATTGTATATATATTTTATTATATATATATTATTGAATCTTACACTCCACACGGAACATAATATCCAATGGACGTCCATGTAATCTCTATAACTCCATATTACATCTATCTCTACAATGGATGTTAGATAGGTTTCTATTAGAAATCTATATTATTTCCATGATAAATGACAATATAAATCCATCATAAATGTCTATTAGACATCTGTTATCGATGTTTGATAGAAGTATCAGTATCCATAGTAACGAATATTGTTAGGGCATCGTCGATGTCAAACGTTTCGGCTGATAATTCATCCATCTTCAGTGCTAACGTTACAAATCTGTTTAGTAGAAAGATTGTGGTTTCAATTCGTCATTAATAAAATTATTTAGAAGTAAAGTCACAAATGTGATTGCGAGATAGTTTTGTTTATGTAGGTGTTAACAGAATGTCACCATGTTCTCGACTGTCTCACAGTTCTCGACTGTCTCACAGTCGTGACATTCTGTTAACACCTACATACACAAGACTATCTTGCAATCATATTTGTAACTTTACTTCCAAATAATTTTATTAATGACAAATTGAAACTACAATCCATTAAAGCTTTATGAAATATCTATGGAACATCTATGATTGCTCCATATGATATCTATGAATATATTTAATGGATGTCGAATGGAGGTATGTAATGCAGAACTGTAGATGTCTAGTAGACATTTATTGGAGATTACATAGATATCTAATAGAGGTTTCGAATCTCCATGATAGACATCTAGTGGATATCCATTAGAGGTTTTTGTTCCGTGTGAGACTATACCAGAATGGTAACTCAAATTTCTTTTGTCTTATTTTCCGCCGGACTTGCGATCTAACCTTATTCTGTATGGCCGGTTAAGCATGCCCCTGCCGATAAACAAATAGGCAACCCGACTTACTGATCTGTATGTTGCGGAAACACCCTGTACATGTAAGAAAGAAGAAACATTGACAAAAAAAAGAAAAATCAGTAAATGAAAAAAACCAACATATATTACAACATATAAACCACAAATATATTATTCGTGACACTTTCACTTTTGATTTATTGATTTTTCTTTTCTTTATTACTTACAAGTACCACCAATAGCTAATGCTTTAACGTTATTAATAAATTTTTTTTTGATAATAGTTTTGTTAGAAAATCAACTAACTGTTTTTCAGATGCAACATACGCAAATTTTATCGTATTGTTTTCAATACACTCACAAATATAATGATATTTTATGTTAATATGTTTAGTAGTTTGTAATATTCTGTTGTTCGTTAAATTGATCACTCTGATTGTCTATTTATAGTTGTATAAGGGATAATGTTTATTTTAACAATTCTCGAAGTCGGTAACGCAACCATATTGTTCTTTTGCGCGGTATCGAATATAGCAACGTATTCAGTTTCAGTGATGGACATACATTTCTGTTGTCGAGAAGACCACGTAATCGGAACATTTGCCAATGTACTAATATAAATGTCGCATGTCTATCTGCTGGTGCTTGTATCATTAATGAGATCAGCATCTGAGTACATCCTGAAAATGTCGGTTTCTCCACTGTGTATAATTTCAAAATATTCTGTTCCGTGTAAATATCACAAAATTCGCTTTACAAACTTTCCAATGTTTTATTCCTGTTATCGTTTAGAAAACGGCTTGCTTGGCTAACTATAGTTGCTTTCCATTTTTACACAAGTGATACTGAGTCTAAAATTAGGTGAGTATTTTATACTCAGATATTGACGTCATCGTTTAGTACGTAAAAGGAACGCGCAACAAGTGAGAATATTCTCAATAACCTCAAATTCTAAATGTCATAACTATTGTGAGTTGATTTTAAACTAAAGATGACTACTTTTATTTCCAATATTATTATAAAGGTAAGTTAATAGATGCTAATTGTTTATCACTTAAATATACATTAAATATCATGCTATTACTTAAATATCATATACCATTAGATTTCAGAAGACGATTCAGAATCGGACTGGACTAGTACAGATTCGAATAAATCAAAAAATTTTTTCTTTTCTGAATCGTCATCCTCGGATTGTTCCGACTCGTCAAATCCTCCTAGAAGAAAGTTACATCGAATAACTACTTTTATGGAAACTGTGAAAGAATACGATGACAAAGAATTTAAAGAGCATTTTCGACTAAATCGTTCAACTGCTGATCTAATAATAAGTAAATATGATAATCCACTGATAAATAAACTGAACTAAACTAAACTGATAAACTAAACTAAACCGATAAATAAATTTAACATTTTGCATAAATTTTAGATATGATTGAAAATGAAGATGTTTTACCTCAACATAATATTGGAAGAGAAAAGATATGTGCACGAAAAGCATTTTTAATGACCCTCTGGTATCTTTCCAATACAGAGACATTTCGACAATGTTCCGACAGATTTGATGTTACCAAAAGCTCCTGTCATCGTATTATTAGGAAAATAATAGATTTTCTAGTAAAAAAAAGTGGACAGTATATTGTTTGGCCCACTGGTCAACGATTACACAAAGTCAAATCAGAATTTTTTTAAATGCAGGGAATTGACGGGGTAGTTGGAGCTATAGATGGGAGCCATATAAAATTAAAAAGCCAGTCTCCAAACACCATTACGTTTATTATAATAGAAAAGGAGATTATAGTCTTCTTATACAAGGAGTTTGTGATTATCAAAAAAAATTTATTAATTTTTTCTGTGGTGAACCAGGATCCATTCATGACAGTCGCCTTTTAAAAAAAATCGTCTTTGTATAGAAAAGGTATAAATGGATTTTTGGGAAAAAATTTTTTTATTGGCAGATTCGGCATATCCCTGTTTAGATTGGTTGATTTGTCCATTTAAAGACAATGGCAACTTAACGCCAAATCAAAAAATATTTAATTATCGTCATTCTGCAACAAGAATTGTTATCGAAAATGCTTTCGGATTATTGAAAGGAAGGTTCAGAAGACTCAAATTCTTTGAAAATAATGATTTGCCGTTAATAGTAAAATGTATTACAGCTGCTGCTGTGCTACATAACATTTGTTTAGATAATGAAGACGAATTTTATATCGATGATAACGTCGACAGTAATGAGGATATGATAGATGCAGCAGGAATAAGTGGTATAGGTGAAAAATGTTCAAAAAGTGACGAAATTTTTGCAAAAATGTTTATTTAAATATGTATATTTTATAAAAATAAACAGTAAATAAAACATTGTATTTTAAAATAAAAGTAACATTTTATTAGTGAACAAGAAACAAACATAAATCTCTTAGTCTTTCTTTTCAGAATCATTTTATACAAAAATAAATTAATAAAAACTAAACTTCTGAATATAGTTTTAATGTTGTTGACATTGACAATCTAAAATTCCTAACTTAAAATTTCTTTAATTTTATTTTATTTTATGTTTAAGATAATTCTTTAAATGTCAAATGTAACAACACTACATATATTATTACTGGAATAAAATATTGTTTGTGATTACTAATTTTAGTACGAATTAAAATCAAAACTTGTGAGAACTTAACTGGCCAACTTCAATTAAACTTATAATACTGACTATTTTAACTTCAATTAAACTTATAATACTAAGTATTTTTTTCTTTCAAAATATTTTGTAAGTTTCCTAATACATTTACTTTTTTCTTTTCTATTTCCAGTTTTTCTTTATATAAATCTAGCTTTTCTTTTTTGTATTTCAGGCTTTCTTTGACATAAAATTTTCTACTAATTTCTTTTTCTTTCATTTTCTCAATTTTATCTTCAAAAAAATTTTTTTTTAATTTTTACTAATTCCATTAATGGATTTTTTCTTTTTTTTATACAAGATGAATTAATGGAACAAGATGGAACAAGAAGGTATTTCTAAGCTACTGTCTGAATTCAGTGTTGGTGTTGATGTTTGAAGTTCGACTTCATTGTTTTGCGATTGTAATTCATCAACATCTAATGAATGTGGACTTGCATTCGATGGTGAATCGCCCAGTAACTCATCCAATCTATCATAAAAAGTGAATTTCACAGGACCTCTTCCTGTTCTACATTTCACATCTTTTGTATTTTTATATGTACGTACTAAATTAAGCCATTTTTTTTGCATGCCAATTCGGAAAACTAAAAATTAAAGAAAATATTTTAGGATTATTATATTTAATATAACAAATTATATCAGACAGTCATAAAGTAATCATTTGAAAACACAAAAATAATAAAGTAATTGCTTTTTTAATTATTATTAATTGTGTAAGGTAATTTTATTTACTTCAATATTTTGACTACCAAGTTCTTCACTAATAATCGACCAAAAAGTTTTTCTTTTATGTACATGATACATATCATCATAACGTGCTTCTATAGCTCCTATTAAGGCACGAGTTTCATCTACAGACCAGGTATTTTTTTTTCTTTTGTCTTTGTGGAGTGTAAATTTTCATTCACACTTGTTTCTTCGAACTGGACTAAATTTTCATCTGTATTCACACTATTTGTTCCTTCAAACTGGATTGAATTTTCATCCAAATTGTCAACTTCGCTCACATTTTTTTCTTTAAATTCATGGCTAATGTCAATAATTTTTATAGGTTTTTTAGTGTTGTTATTTTCTTGATTTTTAAAATATGGTTCATTGTTTTGATTAAATCCTATTAAATTATTTGGAACCCATATTCTGCATTTTTGCTCTAAAATGTATTAATAGAATTAATATTTTACATAATTTTTTTTTTTACTAATACTTACCGGTGTCTTCCACATAAAAATCACCGTTGTTATTAGTGATCCATCCATCTGTTATTCGTAGCAAAAGATACATTACTAAAACAATATATAAGATTATTTATCAATAATTATTTACAATCATTTCATGCTTACTTACTTTGATAATAAGGTGTGGACAAGGTTATCGCAACAACACACACAGGTTCCAACAGGACACAACAGGTTCTTAACCTCACTTTTAATGTGAGTTTATAAGACTCCAGTAAAGCACACGCTCTCAAACTTGTGCAGATTGCATGTAAAAACCCAGTTGAATCTCACTTAGCAAAATAAAAAGGAACGTGCATTCAACTGAGTTATGACGTCACAAGTGAGAATTAACTGAATTTCAGTGTAAATGGAAAGCAACTTATGAACATAATATCTGGATGTAAAACTATAACTGCAAATATTAAACTTCTTACTAACTTGCGATATAAAATTTTATATGGTTTGTTTTTTAAATTTTGTAATTGGACAATCGCTAAATAGAGAATAAAGGCCGTATTAAACTCATGGGACTCCGAAAAAAGCGCAGGGGAGTGGGGGGATTTGATGACGTTACATGGCAAGAAGGAAGAAGAGGTATGTGAAGGGTTCCGATGAGGAGTACGGATAAACAGGCATATCCAGTTACGTCCGGGGCATTGTGACCGTACACGAGCGCGTTTTTTCAAGGTCATTAGTTATCATATCTTAATCTTATCACTTCACTTATCTTATCGGACGAATAATGATATGCGTATTTATACCATTTAGGGCCGGTTGTTCCAATTTCTTGGTAAATTTACCTATCAATTATCTATTAGGTAAATATCAGAAAGTGTTGTTCCATTTGTTGGTAAGATTTACCTACGGGTTAAATTGTTATTACCAAAAGGTAATTTTACTCGGTACTCAAACCACCGAGTAAAGTCTCTGTTAGTAGGTAGAGTGATGATTTTAGGTTATGTTTTACGTATTGCTTTATGATTACATATTGGGAATATTACGTCCTGTGTGTTTCACTTACGAAAATGGCTTTAGATATATATGCGGAACTTTTTGAATATGAGGAGGATTTTTGCGAGGAAAATTATGAGATTTTGATCCGCATCCGCAAACCATATACTGTTCGGCCACGACCAGATCTTTTAAATATGTATGATAAAAATGAATTCATTGCACGCTTTAGATTGTGTAAAGAAACAGTTCTCAGAATAGTTGATCTTATTCGTGATAGAATACAAACAAGAACAATGAGGTAAATGCAATAAAATAAATAAAGTAGAATATTTATTATTATTTATATTTATGTATTTTTATTTATTTTTATTTATTTTATTTATTTTATTATTATTATTTATAATTATTATTATTTATTATTTATTTATTATTATTTTATTATCATATGTATAATTGATGCAATATTAATAATACAATTATAATGAAAAACTTTTATTGTTTTGGTTTTTTAGGAATAATGCTATAACACCATTGCATCAGTTATTATTGACCTTGCGTTTCTATGCAACTGGAACTTTTCAGATTAGTATAGCTGATTTTGCAGGAATTCATAAATCTACTGCGTGTAGAATTATAAAAAAAGTAACAATAGCTCTGGCTTCTGAATGTCATCGTTACATACGTTTTCCAGAAAACACAGAAAGAATACGTCAACAGTTTTATAATATTGCTAAATTTCCACGTGTCATTGGTGCAATAGATTGCACTCATGTTAAAATTCAGTCACCAGGTACATTAAGTAAATCATGGAATTTAGATGTTTAAATTTATATTTTATTGTTAAATAAATTATTAAACATATTTTCATAATTTGTTCAGGCGGAGAAGAAGCAGAAGTTTTCCGAAATAGAAAAGGTTTCTTTAGCATTAATGTGCAAGCCGTATGTAACAGTGAACTACAATTTCAAGACATTGTGTCACGATGGCCTGGTTCAACTCATGATGCTACAATTTTTAATGCTAGTCGTTTACATGCCAGATTTGTTGAGGGTGAAATACAAGATGGAATCTTACTAGGAGATAATGGATATCCTTGCACTAAATTTTTAATGACTCCTTTATTGCAAACACATAATCGTGCTGAAGAATTGTATAATGAGTCACAAATACGCACTCGAAATGTTATTGAACGTGCCTTTGGTGTATGGAAACGTAGATTTCCTATATTAGCAATAGGCGTGAGATTGTCCATAGTCACTATTCAAGCTATTATAATTGCAACAGCAGTATTGCATAACATTGCTCGTCAAATGCACGATCCCGATCCACCAGTTAATTTAGATATAGAACAATTAATTGAAACATTAGAAAATGATGAAAATGAAATAGCGGCATTAAATAATGTTCGAGGTGATACTGCAAGACGAGTATTAATTGACACATATTTCAGAAGGTTTGTAATGTTGTTTAAATTTTATTTAAAGAAAAATATTTTTATTATATTTTACTTTTTTTTCAGATTACAATAAATCCAACACTTATCTTGATCTTGTCATACACTGTCAGTTTTTTTCATTCGATAATATGTTGATATATATATCAATATAAAATTAATAAAAAATAACGTATAACATTTATTAAACTTTTATGATATTTATATTATTTGTACTGTATTGTTTATACATATATAAGATACATATATATATTTTTTAATATATGTAATTTATAATACATAAATAAATTAAAAACATAAAAAAATATTTGAAATGTGTTCGCGTAAAATAATTAACCTTTTATTAAACATTTATCGCAGAAACTGCTCTGATTTTGTATAACAATATAATCTTTTTTTATAAACTTAACTCTCTTTTTTATGAACTTAACTTTCTAACTTTTTAATAAACTTTTTGGATTATGCGTCAGTCTTTGAAAAAAGTAATATATTTTATAACACTTATTGTTAGTGTAAGTATAACTATAAAATCTTAACTAAAATCTTTTCAGTTAGATAAGCTATAAATTACAAGACTGCTATTTATAGCAAATGTCAAAATGCAAAATCTCTTTGGCAACAACTTATAAGTGATTATATAAAATATAATCTTTTTTATGAACTTAACTCTTTTTTTTATAAACTTAACTTTTTTTAATGAGCGTTTTAGATTATGCGTCAGTGTCTTTGAAGAGTATAATATATATTTTATAAAAATAATATTTTATAAGAGTATAACTATAAAATCTTAATTATAAAATATCTTAATTATAAAATCTTTTTAGTTAGATAATCTATAAATTACAAGGTTGCTATTTATAGCATTTACTTATAGCATTTAATTATTAATT